GTCAGTGGAGGCAATGGTCAGTAGAGACAGTGCTGTGAGCTCAGCCTGGGAGGATAAGTGGGAATGTTAGAAGGTAAGTTCTTTCAGTTAAACATCATGATCTTCAGTTCTGTACATTTTCCTACAAATGTTATGATTTAATATCTTCTTGTGACTGAGTGGACTTTCAGTGTGTATGTGTACTACAGTCTCTTTAACCATTTTATCAAATGCTGGATATCTAGATTAGTTCCATTCCCTGGATATTGTGAACAGTACAATAATAAACATGGATGTGCAAGTCTCTGTAGTAGGATTAGAGGCCTTTGGGAATATGCCCAGAAGTAGATGACTGGGTGATATTGTGGCTCTACTTTAAGACGAATACCACATATTCTCTCATATGTACAACACATATTTAGATTTATATATGGGTGTGTGTGTGTGTGTGTGTGTGTGTGTGATGAAACTAGAAATGAGACAGTAAGAGGGGAAGAAGAGATATTATGGGTGTGGTAAGGGTACTAGAATATATGTGGCATAAGAGAGGCTACTGTGGGGAGGGGAGAGGGAAAACCAGCGGGGCAGGAAGTTGTATAAAGGTGCCAGAGCAAAACCCATTATTTTGAATGCTAACAAAAATTAGTCTTAATTTTATGGTGAAAACATTTAAAAATCTACTCTCTTATAGTTTCTTAAGAATACAGTATTCACTGTAGTCCCCATTTTGTATAATATAAATCTTGAATTGATTGTTTTTGTCTAGTTGAAATTTTGTACCCTTCATCAGATCCTGGTTACCACCATGCCATTCTCTGCTTCTATCAGATCAACTTTTCTTTTTCTTACATTCTACTTAAGTCTCTCCATGCCTGGCTTATTCATTTAATGTCTTCAAGGTTCAGGTTAATCCATGTTGAAAATGGCAAGGCTTCCTTCTTTTAAGCTAAACAGTATCCCACTGTGCATATAATATATATATAATATTTATTTTTCACTCATCTGGTGATGGACACATAGATTAATTACATGTTAGCTGTTGTGAATAATGCTAGAATAAACATTAGACCATAAATATTTCTTTTAAGAAACTAAAAAGATTCCTTTAACTATATACACAGTAGTGTGATTGATGGATCAAGTGGTAATTCCATTTTCATTTTCAAAACAAATTTTGAGACCAGGTGTGGTGATTCACACCTTTAATTCCAGCAGAGGAGAGGCAGAAACAGGCAGACCTCTTTGAGATCAAGGCCAGCATGGTCTTGGTGAGTTCCAGGCCAGCTGGGGCTACACAGAGACCCTGTCTCAACAAAATAATTAATTAATTCTGATATTTTAATAATTTATTTTAACTGACAAAAACAAGTATAAAATTATACATATTAATGGGGTATGAAGTAATGGTTACATATATAGATTTAAATCAGACTAAATATATTTAAATCAGACTAAATATATTTATGGCATCAAAAAATTTCAAAAGAAGACAGGTTCTTTTTTCCCCTCATATCAAGGGGCAGCACATTACAACTAACCTTTGTAACTGACTAAAAATCTTAATCCCCTAAAGCTGTATCCCACCTATTGCCTCTCTCAATGTCAAGGCATCAGATATATTCACCCAACTGGGCTAGGGCATTCCATAACATTTTCACAGACTCTCATCAGAGTCCTGTCAAAAAGTGAATGTAGCAATATCACCTGCACCACTATGATGGAGTAGCTAGGCTGTTGTCCACTTGGAATGTTCCTAAATATCTAACTTTATGGCAAGCCCTCAATTGGACATCCATATCATATCCTCTCCCACAAGCTCTGGGAACATTGTGGAAGAAGGGGAAGAAAGAAGGTAAGAACCTAAGAGCCAGAGGATGGGAGGAGTGCTGTGAAATGCTGTTCTCTGGACATGACACAGCCATCGCACATATGAACTCACAGTAGCTTCAGGTGCCTGCACAAGATGGAGCCTGTCGGCATTTTAGCATGAATAAGGGAGGGGCACGTAAGGTCCCACCTCTAGCTGAGGACCTATAGGCAGTTAATGATGCTTGGGGCAGAGGAGTCATTTTCTTCAGGGATGTAGCCGCTGGCAAGATGCCCATGATCCAGTAAATTAACCCTATAACCATTAACATACAAGCAGCCTTAACTAAACTTAATGCATTATTTGTTTTTAAAGACATGAAGGTAGGATGGGGACTTGTTGGGAAGAAGTAAGGTTCCAGGGGGTAAGAGAGGGGAATGAGGAGGTGAATATTACTAACATATATACGTGTGAAACTGTTAAAGAATAAATAAAAAATATTTAAATATTCCTAACTTTAACTTCAACAAAGTCTTTACATATAGGAATATGATATCAATATAATAAATTCTCAGGCTATGAATTTATCTGCAAAACAGTCAGGCATCAAATGAACATTTACTTTGGGCACCATGGGAATATTAGACATCCCCTGTGTATCTAAGATGCCAAAATAGAAAAGCAATGACTGGGATGTTTAAATTAGCTAACTTAAAAAGCCTACTTTTTCTAGCTCTGACATGACAATGACAAATATTTAACATTTAAGTGAGAAAAAATTAGGGCAGCACTATGCGTTATTGCTCAGTGAACGTATTCTCTCTTTGCTGTTTAATGCTGTCTGCAAACAGGTATAAAACTTTCCATCTTTTCTTGGGGTTAGTCATAGTGTACAAGAAGATGCAAATTTAGTTGGCATACTCTCACTATGCATTTATGTTTTGTGTTCATTTTAATAAATTTTATTTTAAAAATATGTGCTGGCAAAATAGAAATAACTGTAGGGTAAGAATCAAACACAGCCTTTATTTTATCAACACATTTACGTTCCAGTTCAATGGAAAATTTTCCTTGATTTAAAAAAATTGATAAATAATCTTATGAAGATTTTGCTACCAACAATTAGTTACCTCTGAGATCAAATGAGGTATTTTGTATATTTTATCTTGATTTAACATAAAAATTTTTATTATTATAAACATATAATGTTTTATTTTATGGTTATTTTCCTAAATAAAGTTTAGAGATAGTTTTTAACTTTTAAATAAGAATATTACATCAGTGGGTAATAAAAGTTACTGGGTTTTTCAACTACAGTCAATAGGCTTTTAAAAAGGCTAATGGTTGAAACATTGCTAGATGAGATTTTCTATGATGTTTGTATTAGTTATTTTTCTATTGCTGTGATAAGACACCAGAGACAAGCAACTTATAGAAAGAAGAGCTTATTTGGCTTGTGGTTCCAAAGGGGTAAGAGTCCATAATGGCAGAAGAGGCATGGCAGCAGGAGGTGGCCGGAGCAGAAGGGTGAGCACTCACATCTTCAAGCAGGCGCGGGAAGCAGAGAACAACTGGAAAGCTGGCAAGGCTTAAGAATTCTCAAAGCCCATCCCCAGTGACAGGCTTCCTCCAGCATGGTCATACCTCCTAAAGGTTCCATGACCCCTCCAAACAGCACCACAAACTGGAGGTCAAGTGTCCAAATACTTGGAGCCTATGGGGAACATTCTCATTCAAACCACTGCAATGTTATTCTGTGGACAGAAAAAAACTAATTTATATCAGAAGGTTACCACCAAATATTTTCTAGTGCAGAGTTGCTAAAAGCACAGAGTATTTGGGGTTGGAGAACATGCTGGAGTTACTTAGCCTTATTTGTGAGAAAGGTGAGTCCCAGGCAAGTTAAATAATTACATTTCGTTTGTTTGGATTGCAGCCATGCCCTAGTAATCCCCGGCAGTGTGACTCGTGGTGGCATCTCCTCGCTGCCATTCCTTTTGGTTTTGTATCTTCAGCCATGAAAAGCATTATTTTGTTTAGAGTCAGAGCCAAACAAATCTTTTCCTTCCCTGACTGGAATATACCTTTCCATCCTGAATTAATTACCTCCGTGTCACCAAAATATCTGCCAGAAACTTACAGGAAAAGAAACTTATGGGAAACTTAGAGGAAAGATTGATTTTGGCTCATGATAGGAATTCTTGCCATGACTGGGGAAGACATAGACAAAAAGCTTAGTCCATATTAGTGGGAGCATGTGACAGAGGCTTCTCATATGGCAGTGAACCAAGCAGTAGATCACCTACCTCTTCTGACTCTGGTTCAGTCTCACCTCCCAAAGGTTCCATAGCCTCCAAAAATGACTCTACCAACTGGGGAACAAACATTCAAACCATTAACAGCAGTCAAGACACTGAAAAATCTAATTTAGCTGGCTGCTCTTATGACCTGAAAGGGGAGTTCTGATGCTGTTTCATTCTTACTAACTTGGCTTTCTTCTGTGATTCTCCGAGACTTTACAGGGTGGCAGCTAGGACTGTGTACAGTCTACTCACTTGCCTGCCACTAGAGGCTGAGCAAGTGGCAGCTACTGCATACGTGTTGACCTGTGTCTGGTAGAATGGATGATGCTTCTGTGGCCAAGTTGTGCTAGAAGTTAGCTGCAAACTGTCCTCAGTGTTACTGAGTGGGACATGAGCAGGTTTAGTGAACTGTTTAAATATTCCAAGCCTATCATTTTTCTTCAAAACTTGAAATAATTGCACACAATTTCCTATGACTTCAAAGGAATACAAATCAAGCATAATAAATACATCAAGGGGAATTAAGCCAATTGTTGAAACATGGCTGTGTTTTATTGGTGAGAGGGAAATGTATGGTGACACGGTCATCATTTAAATGAAACAGAACAGACTCTAAGTAGCCACACAGAATGTTTTTCCTTTCTCACAGATGCCAGTTATAGTTTTTCCAGGCCTTGTCTTTTTGTTGAATTTGAAGCAGGTGAAATACAAAGTGATAAATTCTAGCCAATGTTTAAATTCAGCCTGTAGTAGGTGGACAGAGCATTACCATACACTTCCCAGGCAATGCTTTCTTTCTCTCCACCCCCTTTTCTGGGCTTAGTCTGAAAGCTCCCCAGTACCCGGCTGAAATCTATTCCTGGGTATTTGCCTCTACCCTATTCTAATTGCATTTGTTTTATGACCTTTAGGACTACCAAGAAGCCTCCAACTTGGAACAATTTGTCACTCGGTTTTTATTGAAGGAGACCTTGAATCAGTTGCAGTCTCTCCAGAACTCTTTGGAATGTGCCATGGAAACTACCGAGGAGCAAACTCGTCAAGAAAGGTAACTAAATGTTTTCCTATAATGTCTCTATAGTGATTTTGCAATCGTGGAAAACCAGAAAAAGGGTTTTTCTTCATACACTCGAGAACTAAGAATGAAAATTAATAGATTTAAAAAGGAATTTCAAAAGGACCTCTACAGGGTATTTGCCTTATTATTTCCCTCAAAAGAAAAAACCCACTATTTATTATGCTGTCCATCATTTATTCAACAAATTTGAACTGAGAATTTAGTAAGTGAAGAGTTTAAAATATAATATAGATGATAGTAATATATATTTAGCATGGTACTAATGCTGAAGGAAACCAAAATGTGTTATGTAAGTAAACCACGGATACTAAAACTATACTGCAAGGTACAAAAAGGCAAATATAGGAAGGCAAATAACTTGCCAATAGGTTTCAGAAGAATAAATATTTAAATATGGACAAAGTGGAAGTCAATCACATGACCTTGTCTTAAAATTCATTATAATTTGAAAATGAACAGAAAAGCCTTATAGACTAAGTGATCCTAGTTATTTTGGAGAGCTATCAGAAATTAATAGGCCTAATTATTTAAAGAAATGGAGAAAGGTGAATGAAGGGAAGATTTCAAATTCACTGCTACCAGTATGCATCACCTTGAAGAAAAGGAAGGACCTAACAACAGCTCTGTAAGTAAAGGTGCTACCATTAGAGAGTAGCTGACAGGACGAGTGGGCAAAGTAGACATCACAGTAATTCCATTTGACATATTACTGAGTTGCCATTGTTCATGCCTTGCAAGATAGAGAAAGGCAAAATCTTTACTGTTGTGAAATATGTTGGGTAGGGGATGAAGAGAGATGGCTCAGCAGTGAAGAGCACTGGCTGCTCTTGCAGAGGACCCAGGTTTGGTTCCCAGCAACCACATGGTGGTTAACAACTGTCTGTAACTCCAGTTTCAAGGGATCCAACACCCTCTTCTGACATTCATGGCATTGTACAACATGGGTGCACTTACATGCAGACAGTATACTCATACACATAAAATGAAAAGTAAATAAAAATATTTTTAAAGGACACATTTAGCTAATTTATCACTTTAAGCCTGTAGATATGCCTTATCTAACATTTGTGTCTTAGAACCACAAAGTAAAGTTTTTCAACAAGCTGCTAATGCCTTACTCTATAGGATAAATTTTTCTAAATAAATTAATGAATGTATGCTTTTCAGGACATCTCCATAATAGCATGGAATTTTCATCCATGCACTCACCATGTCAAAATGAATGAGCACAGCCAAATTCTAAATATAACAAGCCCTGTAATTTCAGAATCTAATAAGTCTGTACAGATTATGCACTTGGGGTACAGTGGATGAACATTGGAATATTCCATCTGGGCATCCTTCTTCATATCCATACTTCATTTTCACTGAGTTGAGTGACTCCACAATAAAGGGTAAAGCTAAAGCACAAGAATTCACTTTAGGAAAGCAGCAATCCACCTCCTCAAGTTTGAGGAGAAGATAACTATATTAGTTCCTTTTCTGTTGCTGTGATAAAACACAATGACTAAGGCAACTTATAGAAGGAAGGGTTTATTTGGATTATAATTCCATAGAGACCAAGAGTCCATCATGTCTGGGAGGCATGGGAGCAGAGATGGCTGGAGAGGAAAGCTGAGTGCTTGCATCTTCAAGCAAGCACAGGAAGCAAAGAACCCCACCAGAAATGGGCAAGCTGTAGACTCTCAAAGCCCACCCCCAGTGACGTTCTTCCTCCAGCATGGCCACACTTCCAAAATGTTCCATTGACCCTCCCCCAACTGCTGGCAGCTGGACACCAAGTGTCCAAATTCTTGGAGTCTATGGAGTACATTCTTACTCAAACTACCACAATAACTAAATGTCTTGAAACACGATGAAATTGGTTTCACGGTCCTAGTGGGAAAATGATGTTGCCTTTTGTTTCTTTGGTTTGTATCTCTTGTATATAAAATGAATTCTCTACTTTTAGAGCCAGTCATTTGCCAGCTGAGAAGAGACTTTGGAAAAGCCTTTCCACTGCTTCTGCACCTTCCAGCATGGGGTTCTTTTTTTCCTTCTATAGTTATCACCAAAGAATACAAGCATGCATTCACTACCATATAGCAAACATCTAATGAACAATTGTTTTTTTGTGTGTTAGGCTTGCTTTGAACAGCTGCAGGGCAGCTGTGTTTAATGAGAAGGAACAAAGTAATACAGAGTTTAAGCAAAATAGAAGACACTAGAGGATTAATGAACGTTTTACTTCTAGCTCAAAAACAGCTTGAAATAATGGGAACTGTTAGAGCTCTCATGTCAGTGTGGAGAGTGCTGTGATAGGGAATTCAACTAAGGCATCCATCCAGGGATGTCCAGGTCCCACCCCAATTCTGAGACATTCCTCCCAGGAGGTTTCTAAATATATTTATTCAAGAGTACATAGAAAACTGTGTACCACTATGGGTTTGTGCCCAGTATGAAGTTTCTGGTAATTCAGATAGAAACATGTGTTAACCCCAACCTAGATGCTGTGTCTTCTGTCCCAAGGCTACAGTTTCCTACTTGCTGCCACCAAAGGTCAATATGAGCAGAACTGTAGAATTAGAGTGACAGAAAGATGAAGGCTGTTCTGTCCCTGTCCATGACGTCTGTGATATTTTGAAGCAAAATACCCTTGAAAAAGCATCCTGGGGAGACAAGACTTGAACTGGACCTTTAGGATGAATTTGAGTGGCAGGATGATATCTCTGCTAGGGGACTATGTCCTTTCCCACCCCATCTTGGTCACTTCTCATCTGGCTAGCTTCCCCAAGCTTGTTTGGTCACTCTTCAATACTTTGTCTAAAAAGCCATCACACAGAGCAGGATGCCATGCCTCCACTTCCCCACCAAGTACTCTTGTGCCTCTATCCCCACTTACTTAACTCATCTTTTTAGTTACTCATCTTCTCCATTAGTCTGTGAATTTTTAGATGGTAGGGACTTTGTGCTGCTCCACAGTACTTGGTAAAACTTCATGTTAAATATATGTAATGGAATGAGTGAAAGTGAACCCTATAAAAGAGCAGCATGCAGGGGAACCTGAGGAGCCAATCTTTCTGGTATCTGGGGTTAAAGCTAAACATGCATTGGAAGTTAATTCAATCACATATTTCTGTTAGCAACAATAAAAAAGAGCTACCTAGTGAAACCAGGGTTTATGGAAAATTATTCAGGCAATTGTATGTAGTATATATTTGAGAAAGAAAAGAACAAAGGTAGCAAGAAGTCAAATCAGTGTATACAACAACTCACCAGCTTTTAATGTTATAAAGAAGGATTCTTACAACAAGAGTTGTAGGCTTCATGTTTCATTAAAACTCCTGGGGTTGTAATAATTTGCTTCCCCTTCAGCATCAACACAGCTTTGGAATTTAATACTTGTGAAACCAAGGGATAGAGACTCATTGGCTAGAGCACATCTAGAGAAAACATCCATTCTCTATCAGCTCCAGGCAGAATCACACAGCATTATTCATCCTGCAGTAATGAATCAGGCATGCTGTGCTGGGCAAAATGTCTGTGCCCATTCATGTGACAATGGAATTTTCAGAGAGGGGGAATACCTGCAGCTGAAATGACATAGAGGTGAGATTCTCAGATGGCGTTTTATACCTTCTCTATATCGTCCCTGGGAAACGGACTAAGTGGGAGCTACTTTAATTCCATGTCTCTTGAAAGAACCTAATGATTACCACAAGAATAATCATTATGTGATGCAGAAACTTCCCTGTAAAGGACTCCTGTCCTGTTGCATAAGTCTACTTCCTCAAAATCTAAATTGTCTGAGCACAATTCAATTATATGTGATTTCCCTTATATAATGGAATGTGCAAGTTTGATCTATTTTCCAAGTTTCTCCCCTATTCAGGGATATGAATGAGTCCTTCTGGGCTTGGAAGTTATTTTTCTCCTTTTGATAGTTGTCCATTATGGAAGAAAAGGGAGGCTTTAATTTTGCCCACAAGTGATTATAAAACCTCAGAGGGCTTATGGTTCCTTCACTTGATCACTCCATTAATTACATAAGCCACCAAAGCTTCTGGGGGTGGGTGTTATGCTATAGGAGAATCCATAAGGACAATTAGATATTAGAGACTAGATGTATGTGATTTGTTTTGTTCTCTGCCAAACACCTTCAAATTGGCCACTAAAAATGCCTGGATGAAAGGAGTCATTAACCCAAGAAAGTCAGAAAGGAAGAACCAAAGAAACAGAAACTTGAAACCTGGGAAGAAGAGGAATGCAGCGGAAACTGATTTGAAAGTTCGGGGGCAGTAGAAGTTCACATAGGCATTGTTAAGAGCAAAGGTATAAAATGTTAAAGATTTATGAAGAGAAACATGGGAGGGTGGTAGATTTCAGTGATATGAAGGAAGAAAGGGGAACACTAGGGTAGGAAGGGTTAAATAGGGTGGGAAATGGGAGGCCAGGGCACAGGAGGGAATATGGGGATGTATAAATAACATTAAAGGCCTTAAGAAAATGGAAACCTACCACCATAGAAGCTTCTTGAAGTATATACACATACATTATAAAAAGAGATTAAAAGGAGAGTTACTCTATAACAGGGAACATTGTCCCAGCTAGACTTCATAAGTTAATGAAAAAAACCAAAAAAAAAAAAAAAAAAAAAAAATCCTTAACATCAGAAATGGACTCCTTCTCTAGAAGCTGTTGACCAAGGGTCCATGGACCATCAAACAATACTGGCTATTGCCCTTGCTTTTGGTGACCCACCAAAACTGGATGGTATCTGAAGATACTATATACATGAGCTGTAGAACAAACAAGGAGAAATCAACCTGTGCTGACTTCAGAGCTTCATCTCTACTGGCTAGTTTTCATAGTTCTAGAAGGTGCTATGCATGCTACCAGAAGGAAAAAAATGATCATCAACCTTACCCAGCTGTGAATCCTGTGAACTACTACAACAGCTGGGTTGGCAAAATATGCCGACTGGTGCATCA